TCTAGTTGACCTCTGTAAAAACCGTTGTGTTGTAAAAGGAACTTCTTCATCATCCACAATAAAATTTTTGTTTTTTTTGCTTTTCCGAATTTTGGAAAAAAAGATCGTTGGAAAGAGTGTAGATCTCAATAATGTATATAACCATATATTGTGTAGACTATTGAGTTATATAACGTAATAAATATGTTGATTACATTAATTCAGTCTTTCTTTTGCAATTTATTATTTGGATCTCAAAGCAACTTAGTGAAACTATAGTCCACAGTCTAATTAAGTTGCTCAACTTGTCCTTGTGATTGTGAGTTATGAGGCTAACTGTGGCAAACTGTAATTTTGAGAGCTCCACAAATTTGTGTAATTATATTTGCAACAAATTCTTTACCATTGTCACTCTGAAGAATCACGAGAGGCCCAAGAATCTTAAAAACATCTTTAAGGAGATGGGTTGCAACTATGCCTACTTCTTTATTCTTTATTGGGACTGCAACAAGAAATTTAAAAAACATATAAATAAATGTAAATAGCTATAAGAAATCATTATTCACTTCAGCAAAATCTTGGAAATTAGCTAAGTCAATTTGAACATGCTGCTAAGGATCCAATAATACTATAGATATTACATTAGTTTTTTCTTTAATAGAGATATTTATCACATAGACAGCACATTCATTTATGTATATTTTCATCTCTTTCTGCATGATTCCAATATGCTTTTCTGAAATCGCAGAGAAGGTTTTATGATATTTACTGTGGTTGGCTTGATCATAAAAGTGCTCAATATTATAGCACGAATTCCTGCATTATATTTGAAAACTATATGGTGTTTTTCTGACTTGGTCACACTATTCTTTACAACTGCTTTAATGTAAAGAATACTATTTTTATCAACTTTAAAATTTTTGTAGCGACGAATTAAGTTATATTTTGCATGAAAAGTTTTTTGAATATCATCCAGAATAGTTCCTGATCAAAGATATTCAACAATTATCTAATACTCCTTTACTGTCTCAGAGATTTTGAAAATTGCTAGCATTTTTTTTTTTTAAAAAAAAAAACCTTAACGTAAAGGTTTTTATTTAGGCAGGTATAGTAGTAGGCATTTACTGCTTCTTGGATGAGTGTGGGTATTGCTTTTCTTGAGTAGGTAGTAGGTTTTTTCTTGAGTAGGTAGTGGGTTTTTCTTGAGTATTTTTTTTTGAGTGAGTAGTAAGTTTTTTTTGAATTTTTCTTAGATAGGTAGTAGGTGTCTTTTTTCTTATACAGGTGCAGGGTGAATAAAAAATGATTTATTTTTTTTTCTTGATAATCATGTTACATAATATTTGGAATTTTTAGGATACTATCTCCAATATCAATTCATGATTCTGGGTCACATGATTTTTAGCTTCATCTATTTTTAGCATCATCTGCGACAATTCTTATTTTCAAATTTTATTATTTATAATTACTTTTTTAATATTTTTGTATTTTAAAAAAGTAAATCCGAGCTAAATAAATACAAAAATAGAGAAGATTGAAGATTATGGAACTCTGTAATTATCACGAATTATCACTCTTAAAAT